TGAGGATCCCCCTGACACGGGAGAGCCGCGCCGACGCAGGCACTGTAGCCGCGTCGTACGGCATCATGCTGCTGTATATCGCGGCGGCGCTGGGGTCCTTCCCGCCGCCGGCAGCTGTACGATGGGCGGCTCGCGGTCGGGGCCTTATATCTGCTGGCGGGCTGCTGGTACGGCGAGCTGCTCTGACCAGTCGCGCTTCCTTGGGCCTGGGGGGTGTGGCTATTGTGGCGGCGAGTGTGGCAGGTAGGGGGGGAAAGGAGGGGGAAGGAGGGGGGAGAAGGAAGGCGAGGAGGAGGGGAGGAGGGGGGAGGAAGGAAGGGGAGGAGGGGGGAGGAGGAGGGGAGGAAGGAAGGGGAGGAGGAGGGGAGGAAGGAAGGGGAGGAGGGGGGAGGAGGAGGGGAGGAAGGAAGGCGAGGAGGAGGGTAGATAAGGGGCCACGCATGCATGCAGTGGTGGGTGGACGGGGCGGTGATATTTCCCTGGGAGACGGCTTTTAAGGCGGCGGCCGCGGGGGGGTTGTGTGCTGCCCCTGGTTCGAACACCACCCGCCCGTACACCACCCGTCTACAAGTTAGTTAGCCGTCATATCCTTGGGCCCACCTCCCCCCCCTCTCCCTCCCACACCCCCGCCGGCTTTCTAAACAGGCGCGCTGGGTCTGGTTAGCGCTGTCGGTTTGTGTTGCACCCTGATCATCATGGAGGTCATCCCCTTCCTGGTGCTGGCGGTGGGTGTGGACAACATGTTCGTGATGGCTGCGGCGATGGCGAAGCAGGTGCTGGGTGGGGTGGGGCGGGGCGGAGTGGGGTGGGGGGTGGGGGTGGGGCGGGGTGGGGGGTGGCGGGGTGGGGGTGGGGATGGCCAGGGTGAAGGGAGGGGGGAAAATGGCGGCAAGGGGCATTCGTACTGCTGGACAGCTGGACTGCTTCCGTCGACAGAAATATGAGCTCGTGTATATGTACGGCATCGTTAACACTTCCTACGGACCTCGCGGACCAGTTCATTCCAGAGCCCCACGGACACACGACACACATAAAAACAAACATACGTACATACGTACATACACACACGCTGCCCTTCAGGATCACTCCCTGCCCCCCCCCACGCGCCTCGCCCTGGCGCTCTCCTCCGCGGGCCCCTCCATCACCCTTGCCGCCGTGTGCGAGGTGGCGGCCTTCGCGCTGGGGGCACTCATCACGTCCATGCCGGCAGTACGGAACTTTTCCCTGGCAGCGGCGGCGGCGGTGGCTCTGGACTTTGGGCTGCAGGTACGTGTACGGCAGGCCGTACACGCGCGTGTGTGTGTGTGTGTTTTGCTTGGGGGGAAAGGGTGGGGTGGTAAAGGCGGCGTGTGGGCATGAGGGGGGAAGGGAGAATTGTGGCGTGCGGTTTTTTCGCAATCGGTTGAGTGTGCGCCCGCTGTTTTGGCTGAGTTAAAGGCAGTAGTGGTAATGAGCATGTGGTGGGGGTGGTGGGGTGGTGGGGGCACATGCGCCGCCGCCCCTCCTTTCCCCCCCTGCTGCAATACACGGCACACAGAGATACCCGCGTGTTCTCTCACCCACGCGCCCCATCCTACATACATACATAAGGCAGGTGGCTGGCAGAAGTTAAGGCCTTAAGACTTTTCCTCTCGGCCGACCCGGGTTCAAATCCGCCTGCCGACCTCTCGGCATGTGAGGGGTGTTGAATTGGGAGGTGGTCCCCCATCTTGTGGACGATGTAGGACGTGATAATATCAACTTGCGAGCTGATCAGGAACTAAGTTGAGGCGCCGTTGATCCGCTAGATTTGGTTGGATGCTGGTGGTGAGATGCTGAACCCAACGAATACATTCTGAAGTCGGATGAGGTGAATGGATTAGCGTGCCCCTCTCGCAGGGGAGAGCAGGGCACTGCCTCGGGAAAGGGGGCCGCTGGTGAAGCTATACCACCCTGTAACAACATACATACATACACACACACGCACGCGGCCCGCAGGTGACGGTGTTCGCGGCGTTGCTCGTTCTGGATGTACGGCGGTTGCACTCGCGCCGGCTGGACTGTTTGCCGTGTGTGCAGCTTGGGGCGGAGGAGGTGGAGGCGGCGGCGCCCAGGGGGCCGGCGGAGAGGGAGGCGGCGGTGGCGGCGGTGGCGGCAGCGGTGGAGAGGTGCGGGGGTTAGAGCGGCGTGTTTGGCCTTGCGATCATATTGGTAGTGGTGGTAGCGGGGGAATGAGGGGAAGAGAGCTCCGGCATCTCCTAAAACCCGCCACCCCCCAACCCAGACATGCACACATACACACACATACATACATACACACAACCCAACCCCCCAAAGCCTCACCTGCCTATGACATCACATTGCCTACCGCACCGTACACACACGGCGGCATGTTGTTCTCCTATCCCGGAGGACAGACGTACATACATACGGCCGTCACGTTGTGGATCTCGTGATTCAGGGATGTCTGGGTTTTGATAAAAGAAGCTGTAATGTGACTTGGTGGTGTTGATCACCACAATCGCCACCCCCCGCCAGCAGCAAGAACAGTCCGTACACTCCGCCGCCGGGGACCGCTGCTATGGAGTACGACAAGTACGACGACTTGCCGCCCACCCTGGGGCCCAGCGATGAAGGGGAGGTGGATGAACATTCGTACTGGTCCCTGCAGCGGGTCCTGCAGGTGTGTACGGCAACAATGGGGAGTGCGCCCGGGTAGGGGGGGAGGTGGAATCGGGGTTAGGGGCGAGAGAATGGGGAGGGGCTGTGTGTGGGGATGACGGGGTTCGGGGGGTTATTGAGGGACCTGGAAAACACAACCGTACATACACACAACACACCGCACAGGGTCAATCTATGTAACACACACACACACACATCTGCACATGCGCGCTTTTTTTCATCCTTCACTGCCCTTCCGGGGCCGCTTTTGCTTCGCCCGCACCTTTGGTGCGAAAACCCCCGGCCTCCGAACCTAAACCCCCTAAACCCCCTAAGACTTCTAAAACCCATATTGTACGGAATCTAAGGATTTATTGTTAACTTCTTCAGACTCAACATAACACCCCCTCACTCTCGTACCCCTCCCTTCATTTCCACTCCGCTTACCCCCCCACCCGACCCGTCACAGGCCTATTTCGAGCGAGTTCACGCGCCGCTGCTCTCCCTCCCTGCCGTACAAGTGGTTGTGCTACTGCTGTTCGGGGCCTCACTGCTGACGTGTGTCGGGCTACTGCCCAAGCTGCAGGTGGGGGTGGGGGTGGGGTTGAAAGGGGGGAAATGGGTACGGGGGGCCCCCGGGGTGGGGGAGATTTGGTTTAGGGGAGGTGCGTGTGTATGCGTTTGGGGTGGGGGGGTGTGGGGGGGTGTACGACGTGGTCGGTCGTACACCGCCAATGTTTCCTGGACCCCCGCTGCACGTTAGTTCTCTTCTCCGCTGTGTAAGGCACTTACTCCTTACCGGCCTGGCGACCTGACTGACACCCTCCTTTCCCCCCACCTCTTTCTCGCCTTCCCCCCACCAATACACACACACACATACACAGGTGGGACTGGACCAGGCGGTGGCACTGCCGAGAGATTCGTACCTGCAGCCGTACTTTAGGTACGGCACGTGTGCCATGAAGAGGCAGCCGTTATCGCTAGCAGTTATTGTCGCGATCCTGCTTTCCGGTCTCCATAGCCTTTGAAAAGAGCCATTCCCACTCACGTCCACATCCCGAAAGTACGAATGCCCCTCAGTGTCGTACAAACCTTCTTCTAGGACCTTCTAGGGTCTTCTCGTCCCAAGTTTGGGACGGCTCCTCTCCGTCCTCCGTCCGCCGTCCTCGGCCCCATGTCCGAGGAGACCACCACAATTTGTGGAACCCTTCCTGTGCCCCCCCCCTTCCGGCAACACCCCCCCAACCTTCGGGAAAGGAGGCGCCGCAGCTACCCCCGCAGCTCCCCGTACTGCCGCCGCCGCCGCTGGGGTCGCCCTCTGCCCCACATCACCCACATCACCCCCCACCCACCCGTTTCTTTTCCTTTCGCACTTAATGGCCTATCCCGGCCGCACACGCACATACACACATACATACACACACGCACACACGTGCACACCTCCGTGTCACCCGAACAAACAGGGATATCATGCGCTACCTGCGTGTCGGTCCGCCGCTGCTGCTTGTCGTACGAGATCTGGATCTGGATCCAGCCGCCCGCCAGGTGGAACGAGTGTGTGCCGTATCCGGTTGCGACCAGGACTCGCTCCTGAACCGGGTGAGGTGGGGGGAGGGGGCTGCAGGGATGTATGTAGGTATGTAGGTATGTAGGTATGTGAGTGGACATAGGAAGGTAGTTGCCATCTGGGTTGCAGTGGTCTGGCGCCGATGGGTTGGGGCGGAGCAATACACATCTCCCCCCTTCCCCCCGTCCCCCCCTCCCCCCCCCCCGTTAGGTCTCCGCGGCCGCCCGGGACCCGGCTCGTTCGTACATCTCCGCCCCCGCCGCCTCCTGGCTTGACGACTTCATGAGCTGGCTGTCACCCGACCTGCCCTCGTGCTGCAGGTGTGTGTGCGTGTGTGTGTCCGTATGTGTGTGTATGTGTCTCCGTATTGTGTGTATGTGTGTGTATGTGTGGTGGAATTGGCGGGGGCGTGTTAGTGAAGGAGGGAGTGAGGGGCACGAGGCTGTGTCCTTCTCCCCCCTCCTCCCCCCTCCCCGCCACCGACTGGAGCACTTTGCTTCCTTCCGTACTAAAGTAACAAAATATGGCAACCCATGAATATGTATGTACGTACGTATGTATGTATATGTGTGCATGTGCGTAAATGTGTATGCGGGCCGTGCAGGTCGCACCTCGACCCCCCCGGGACGGCGGCCCCGGGTTACTGCCCCCCGCCCGACCAGCCCCCCTGCGCCACGAACAGCTCCGCATGCTCCTCCTGCCGTACATGTGTGCCGGCGGCCTTTGAGGGTACGTGTCGTACGGCTGGGTGGGGTAGGATCGGTCGGGGTCGGGCGGGGACTTTTCACTTTCGGTGGTCGGGGGTTAAGGGGGTGAGGGGGGTGAGGGGGGCCTATATGAAGGCACGAACACGCCCTGTTGTGTGTGTGTATATGTGTGTGTACGGGGCACTGGCGGGAGAAGGAGGGAAAGAGGAGTGATATCCCCCCCCCGAAACACACACACCGTCCCCTCCCCTTACCCCCCTCCTCTCCCCCTTGGCCCTCTCCCTTTACCCCAGGCGGCCGGCCCTCCCTGGAGCAGTTCCAGACCTTCCTGCCCTGGTTCCTAGCCGCTAAGCCCTCAGAGCGATGCGCCAAGGGCGGCTTGGGCGCGTACAGCGATG